GAGCGGGACAGCAAGCCTTGAGCAAGGCATTTTAAAGTTCGAGAAAGATGGTTCCAGAAAGATGACGTAGCAGCCGGCCGAACCCGGCTACTGTCACGGGAGCACGAATAACCTCTTGCCTCAACGGTTAGAACAGAACTCTCAGAGCTAACTTCCTTACGGCCATCTTCTTCTTGTTTGATGATTACTGGAGCTTTGGAGACCCGTCCATGTAGCTCCACGTCTGCAGATGGATTCAGTTGTTACAGCAGTCCCACCAGTCACACAACTGCTCCACAATTCAGAGACTGCAGCAGTCCCAGCAACTGTGTGCACATGAAGAATGTCATTAGCTTAGAGCATCATAAACATTGTGTCAATTGGTCAGCTACAGCTCATAAAATTAGGGAGTTATATGTCAATATCATGTTCAGGGAAATATTTTGCAGTGGGTAGATCAAGGGACAACATGTTTCAAAATAAAATATCATTCTATATTATCAGGAGATGTTAGTGACTAGTTCATACTAAACAGAAGATGCCATCAAATTACCATAGCTAGGCCAAATTACCCAAGTTAGTAACTAGAGGATGCCCTACCTTGTGCCACATACGAGAAACCAGACTCTAGGTGATGGTCCAGCCTGGGTGGCGCAACCTGGAGCCTCTTTCAGCCAAATGTGGCTAGTGCAAACAGTATTTGATGCAAATAAATCAGATCCTTTCCTCTTCCGGGTGGTGTTCATGGAGGACAATGAACGGTCATCATTTTTCTCAGGAGGATTAGTGAAATCACTTTCGCAGAATTCCTCAAGTTGGGTGTTGGTTAACCCATGAGTATGACTTTGAGTAGTGTTTTCAGAAATGTCGCCAGGATCGATGAGATCGGCCGATTCTGAACACTGAACTGGTGCGGCCATGACACACACACACACTTGTTAAAGTAAACAGAGAGATTTTGAGCACGTCTTAATTCGTCAACGGCTGAATGCACTCTCCCAGAAAACGTGGCGAATAAAAGATCAATCGAATGCGACGGAAAATCGGGTGATTCGGTAATTTTGAGAGCCAAATCTGTTATAGAATATGACTATATATTACTAATAGAATGAAAATAGGATTTTTCTCATTATGTTGACTCTATGCGCTTGATGTGATGCGTCTGAAACTAATATACTCATTGTTTGTTTCTAAAACTTCAACGATATCTCCTGAAGCCTTTCAATCTCGTCTGGATTTACGAGTTCATCGTTTCTATCTTTAAAAAATCAAACACAGAAAATGCGGAGTGATGAAATTAGCTTAATCAATCTCTTGTTCAATGTATATAACAACTCCGCACTCAACTCAACATCAACTGTCAGCACTCGCTTGTTGTGCTTACGGTAGCTTATGGAAGTATTGAACGCGACAGCTTCGACTCTCATGCTTCTTTTATTATTCGCCAGTTGATTAAATTGCAAATAGTTTGGGGATTAATAAGAGTAAAATTTGATATTTTTACTATGCCAATGATGATAAAGAATGATTTGTAATTTTGAATCGATCAATCATATGTATGAAGGAGTTTGAGTTTGGGTTGCCATGCAGAATCTATCCGATCTCAGTTCGCACTCTCAGGGTGTTCGCAACAAATTAAACTTTCTGCTTGATCAGTCGTCAAGGATACAAAACGGATTTACACTAATTATCTACTTTACTTAGTTAAATTTTATCAAGAACTTAAAAGGGTAACCATTCTTCACAACATTTATTGGTTTATATCACTTCTGTCATTGTCTTCATATCGCGAATATTTATTCTGAACCGCAAGTAGAGCTCTTGACTGCATATCAGCTGCGAAAACACATTGGACACAAAAATTTAGAGGTCACAAACAAATTATAGTGAGACAAAAATATCCAAGCTAAGTTATACATACAATTCGATAAAAACATAGCTCATGGCAGGGTGGCCCAGTGGTTACAGTTCAGAGTACCAAGATACCAAGATTGGCGCTGGTTCGATCTCAGCTTTTTTTTTTTCTTAAAAGGCCTCCCACACTCACCATTCCAACAAAAAGAAAAGGAATTGATTTTATTAATTAAAAACAGGGAATGGTTTCATGTCAATGATCAGGGCCCCGACCTTGACGCCTCTGATGGTGGCCTACACCGACTCCGAGGGTCACTGAGCTGTGACGCGAGCGAGGCCCACATCGAACTTTTCTCTGACTGCTGTTAGGATGCTAGCTGCATTGCCTCTCTGCACGGCCAAACCAGCTTGCCATCAACACTTCTGGTCAGTCTTTCCATTCTTACAAACTTGCTCAAACCAGAGACTTGCACTCTCTTCTCCATTGCCCTGATGTCTGCTTCAACATCTACAGGTGATATCACCCCATAGGAGAATCTTGCCTGGTTAGGTTCTGCACAGGAAACTTTCCAAGGACCTAGTTGCGTCAGCTTAAGTAGGCTATCTATGGTCTCTCCATTACATTGGGCTAGTTGTATACTGTATAGCGACCAAACCTTTCCGCCGATTCACACGGACATCATCTAGTTGCAGGGATGAAAAAGGTGGAGATTCCAGTGCTGAGCAAAGCAGTTCAGGTGATGTTAGCATTTTCTTTGAGGCTTCATCAGCAGGGCGGATAAGTACCGGTAGAACATGTGCATTGGCATTGCCACTAGTTTGCACATCAATAGGTGACAAATCCTGTGTTACACCAGACTCTGATTCATCACAATCACCAGTCAAGGCAGACTCAGGGAGCTGGTTCTGCCTCAGATTCAGGAATGTAGATTGCACATTTGGGCGTTTTTTCATATCCGCTTTCTTTGAAGTCATTAAAAAGCTCTCATCATCAGATCCTTTCCTCTTCTGGCCCCTGGGTTGTGTTCATGGAGGATAATGAACGGTCATCTTTTTTCTCAGGACTCAGGAGGATTAGTGAAATCACTTTCACAGAATTCCTCGAGTTGGGTGTTGGTTAACCCATGCGTATGACTTTGAGTAGTGTTTTCAGGAATGGCGCCAGGATCGATGAGATCGGCCGATTCTGAACTGGTGCAGCCATGACACACACACACTTGTTAAAGTAAACAGAGAGATTTTGAGCACGTCGTAATTCGTCAACGGCTGAATGCACTCTCCGAGGAGGAATTGGACTCATCAGAGGAGTTGCAGCACAACGAGTGAGTGTAAGGCCCAACTTTCGGAGGGTTCCGAGCTCTAACAACAAAAGGAGTGTTACCATGAAGTCCCCTGTCGGAAAAACCCAGCATGTAGGGTACTTGATCCCCTGCAGGCGTGTGCAAATACCTTAATACCCATTTATTGAACAGATATGAAAATTGTATTAGCAGAGGTGCAATGAAGCTTTCAACTTGCAGACACTATAGGTGTAGTACGACGAGCTCCTTGAATGTATCGAAGGGCAGAGTTTTGTACAGTTTTAAGTTGTTTAAACATTGACTTTGGAATGTCCCATAAAATTGTTGAGCCATACTCCATCTTGCTTCGTATGAATGCCACATATATTCTGCGTAGTAGTTTCCGTGAGGCTCCCCACTTCTCTCAGGCTTAGTCTGCCTCTTCTGTGGAGTGTGGGAAACAAATACAATACCGTAGATAGCTAATCGCTAGTAAGGAAAATGCAAAAGTGCCTCATTACAGACATTATACCATATGCAAGATCGTCTATTCACTCTATTCTCAATTGTGCTTACTACGTAACGTCGTAAGTATAAGTGTGGAACCTGCGGTCGCGTTGGCAATTTAAGTATACGTTGCGTAAGCTGTAGGTGGTGAGCACGGAAACAGCACTAAAAATTACAAATTTTAATAATAATGTCGCATGATAATCTTCTGTGGCCCAGTGGTTAAAGTTCAGAGTACCAAGATTGGCACAGAGAGGCGCGGGTTCGATCCCAGCTCTGTGCGCCAGTTCTGGTCAGAATCGGCGAGGAGGCCGGGCGGTTAAGCACAGCAGAATTGTAGCAGTGAGTTGCGAGTTCGAGACCGCAAAATGTTGTGAATGTTCTGCGATGTTAAGAATCGGCGACAGGCCTACGGCCTAATAACGCTGAAACCGCTATTATTATTATTATTATTATTGTCATTATGCTGGCATTTCGGTTGCTACTTTGTCCGACATAATTAAAATTTGAAACCTTATTGATTGGCAGCACGTAGGCTAACCCAAAATTTAATGAACGATCGCTTTCTAATATGAACGAAATTAAATCTTATCACCATTACTTTCTGTTGTTAGCAGTCGAAATTATCTAATAATTGAAACAAAGCCAACCCCGTGTAGAGGTTAAGCTGAGTGATTGATGGTATCTGAAGTAGGATTCAAACTATTTTAATTAATATGCACCTAAACTCTTTTTAGAAATGCTCGTATCAGAAGTTAAAGGCTGACTATTTCAAGATTTATAAATAATCGTGGAATTTGAAATAGCAGACATCTTGTGCTTCCCCTGTTCAAAGTTCAACAATGCAGACTACGGCAGTCTATTGTAGTTATCTATCCCAGTGCAATATAAAATTTATTTAAAATGTGTTCTTTTGATTAGTTTTATTCATCAAAACTTTGCATCAATTCGTGATATTGCATTGCTTAAGCAGTAGATATCATTCATGTATTTGCAGACAGCTTTTACAACAAATGAATAGACCTTATTTGTTGCTTAGACCAGCATTCATTCATAGGCTCTAGAGGGAATGACCTAGCACGTCGCTGTGCCATATAAGGTATAGTGTGTTTCCTAATATGGCAAATGGAGACTACACACACCTGGAAAGGAGTGTTTCAAACCAAATGGTTAGGACATTTATTACCGTTAGCGTCATCATGATCGTACATACTGATAAATTCAAGGCAGGGTAAATATATTCCGTAATTTACGGAAAGCTTTTTGATTTGTTTGGAAGACAATTATTTTTGTACTAGTTCATCGGCGGAGGTTTGTCGCCGTTAGTTGTTCGTGGGCGATCAGCTGAGTGCTTCTTTTCACTGCCAGTAGTGTGTTGACTACAGCTGTGAGTGGAGGTGTGCTGTTCACTCTGGTGTAGTCTCCCTCCTGCTGCTGTGTGCGTGTTGTCATGTGCAGTGTTCGTTAGGCATCTGATAGTAATCAATATGCAAAGCCAAAATCATACTACGTTGGATGATAAATTCCCAATGAATTTTGGGAGTTTCGATCCTGATAATCTATTTTCAACTCACATGGGGAATATGGGCGTCGGCATGAAACGTTCCGCCCACGAAGCTGGGCTTGACAGAGAAGCTATGGGATTGTCCTCTGATGATGATACTGATTTTATGAAGAAAGAAGGTGGCTTAAATGCATCGTCTAGTGCAAGAGAAAATATGATTCATCAACAAACGTCCTTAGACCAACCTCAACAGAAGCAAAATTTGTTGCCAAACGGAAAGAAAACAAAAGGCAGAGTCAAGATAAAGATGGAGTTCATAGATAATAAGTTGAGAAGATACACTACGTTCTCAAAGAGGAAAACGGGAATAATGAAAAAAGTAAGTTATGGATGTATTTTTATGTTCATTTGTTATTCAGCACATAATCGTTTGTCAGTTGGTACTTGGTAAGTTTTCGGCGTGCCGACTGTGGCGCCGCAGTCCGCCTGTCGCGACGCAATGTAGTTGGCTGCCAGCTCGCCTGCCATGATATACACATGTTTGTGTCTTTCGTCTTATGCTGCGCTGCGCACTTTTCTGCACACTTTCGCTCATCTAAGATCATTGCTTGAGATATAATTATTTTGTTTTATCTGTATCATAAAAGTTTAACGAGAAGTTTTCATGGGAAACGTATTGATGTCACCATGTGTTTGACGGACTAGCATGTGCAGCACCTGCCGCTCTCGAGGCTTCAGCCGCTGGAGGCTCTACTCTCGTTACCGCAACGCCATTCCGGCCGGCATCGGTCACTATGCTAATTATTGAGGTGATAACTTCTCGATAATTGCGGAATAGCATGCGACAAGAACGCACGCATGAGATATGCCAAGGTGCTGATAGTTGCGTGAGTTAAATATTCTCTATACTATAGTCGACGCGGTACTCGAGCAATCGGTACATTTTTTAAGTTTGTACTGATTTACTTACTTTACTTACATAATTATTAATTAGTACACCAGGTAGTTTTTGATAACGGCAGAGGATCGCGACCTATGATAAAACTTGATGTAATACCTGGATTCGTTATTGTAAAGAACAACACCGTTAATTGACGGCATCATGCTTCATAATGAGTGAGGATTGCTTCACGGACTCGGTTTCCTATGAAATTGTGGCGACGTAACCAATTTTATCCAATATCATCATGTTATCATCAATGCTAGTTGCCAAGTATTAGACTTGTTAAAATATGGTATTGAATTAGCAAGTATCCAAGCTTCAAATAGTTATATCCGTCGTATACCGCACGGTAGTAAGAATTCATGCGCTTCATTCCAAATCATATTGTGCGTCGTCTGCTTACTATGCTCGCCTGTTTGTATTTCACGTCTTCTTCGACTGAAATTTATTTATGAGAGATAGAGCGATTTACAAACTAATATACCCAGCTATTAATATTTATTGTCTACTAGAGAGGTCAATACATGGGGCGGAATGCTCACTTTCCTCCTAACTTATTCAAACCCTTTATTTTTTTGCATGTACGTTTCGTTTCAATTGCCTTGCTTGCACCCTACAGTAAAAGAGTAGACGATAACAACGACAGCAGAATAATTTAGTTTCTTTCGTATGGGACGCTGATTACTTTGCGCTTATTCTATTGAGCGGTTCATTTTATACAGGGTGTAGACTGAGCATCATATATAATAATTTAGTCAAACATTAAATTCCCAATCGCAATAATGCGTGATTTTAGATTGGGTTTCTCAAAATTTTTTTAGTGGATTTTCTTTTTTAATTAAACCCTTTTTCATAGAAATATTGTGGCTTGGCAATCCAAATCAACCTTCTGCCATAAGGCAAGCACATTATTCGAAAAATGCGAAGCGGAATAGTGACAACTTGTGAAAGTGTTTAGGTATTTCAAATAAACTTAGGTCTGAAAATATATCAAACTTCTACTTCTGTCAGAGTACTATTCTTTAGAATTGAAATCCCACGTGATAGAACGACTACCACAATTTTAGAACATTAAATTGTCATTATAGCTTTTCGTTCACAGGAGCCAGGTTTCGTTAAAAAAAAATACAGGTAAAATTTGAGGTATGTTAAATACGAACTTCAATATGTTTGTGCATGTTCTTGGCACCGTAGGATCCTGCTTTGGCAATGCAGTACTTTCGATTCCGAATTTGATTTTCTGCTGTCGCGTATCATGAATAAAGGTTTTGAATTATCGCCCTTATAAATTTAGAATAACTTCGTAAACTATAATAAGCATCGCCAAAAGTAAATACAGCACCGTTGCTCTAGCATATTGTTGTTTGGTTATAATCGTGGCGATTTAAACGATCGTGGCGATAGTGTATTTTTGTTATAAATGTGCGAGTACTGTCATCGTCCCTGCGTAGACTTGTTGTATTGTACCGTACTCAAGTTGAATTAAAACTTTGAATGGCTTACTACGATCATAATCTAAGTAATTTAATTCTAGTTTCCGGTTCTATTCCAGTCTCGGCTGTACAGCAATTATCTGGCTTTAGGCCCATACACCATATTTAAATTTTATTGGTGGATCTTGGCTCTAATTGGTCAATCTATGCACATTTTTGCGAACGTTGATGGGAAAAGAGCAATTTTGACTCTGTCAAATTTATTCATGATCCGATTATTAATACAAAAATATACCTAATTCTGTACTCACTGCAGTGAGTGACAGAGAGCGCATTTTCTCGTCGACGAAAACGTGAAGTCACGGACGGACGGACAGACGGATATGGCGAGCACAATCGTGCATTTTTTCCATAAATGAGAAAATGCGCTAAAAATGATCTGTTTCATGGATCTGTTTGCTTTTTTGGTATGATAAGGGCATGATTCTGTTAATCGTTATTTTTTTTCTATTTCGCCCGCTGCTTTGATGATTATTATTATTGTCGTTTGTTCAGAATATCAAGCGCCCTGCCAAAAAATTTGAATTCTGAACGGCCGATGTCCATATATCTGCAGTTATAACAACGAGCTTTGCTGTAAACATCGTTTAAACTGTATTTAGATCTTATTTCATTGCTGTATTATAACCAGACTGTGTAATTGTCTATACCTATATACACTGCAGAATAAATCGATGCCACTGCAGTTGCATGTTTAGTAAAAAAATTTTCATATTTTTAATGGGGTCATATTCTATTTAACGGATTTTAATATATTGTTATGGTGCTCTTAATGCCATTAAAATTGCTATAAAATGTTTGAATTTCCTACAGTGGTTACGACGTGACACAATTGCAGTAAAAATGCTCGTTGGAAACAACTCCGAAGAAACGTTCGATTGGACAAATGACGCTCTTATTTTCACTTTGCTGGCTGCATTCTAGTATCACGTTTTCCTCTTCCGATTATTCTGATAGAAACCAAGTAAAATTATCTACTGACTTTCCTTGGCCACGCTGCCTAATATATATCTGTGCTCACAAACAGAATTGGTGAACATGGATAGGCTATGCGGACTGCCCGCTAGTTAGCCTCCGTTTTGGTCCGGTAGTTAGGATATGATCATCGTTCGCAAAGATGAGTTTCAGATTACGTAAGTCGGGAAATCAGTCTATATAGCGCTCGTTCTATCAACAAGATAAGAATGATTAATTATCACCACTATCATTTGGGGGTCTATTTTGGTCGTGATCAGAAGGAAGACTTATAGAGACCTCTGCAGGTATGTGCTAGCCGGTACTCAAGCAGTGATAACAAGCGCTCTGTGCTGGTGATGTCATTGAACATCAGATGTTATGATTTATTATTTATTTACATTATGTATGTTCAGATTCTGACGGATGTTCTGATTTATTCTTTTGCACTTGAAGGATTTTGTTGTCGTCCTTGTGTTGAATCATAGGGACTTTCTTGCAATTCTTAAGTCTTGTATATTGTACTACAAAATATAAGAAAATTCATGTATTCTTCGGAAATTAGTTGACGGATTAATTAAAAATATTAACTTAATTTGAGGATCCGAGCATAATTAATACGATGCAAGAGAAAACAAATAATAAAAACCTTATTCATATATTCCCGCAATTGCGCTGTAACTTAATATTTAATTTTTACGTCTTCATCGTTAAGGGTTTATGTCTCATAGGACATGTTTAACTGAGAGAAAATGGTTGTAATTGTGGATTGTGGACGCGTTATTTTACCCAATCGCTAAAATGATTTGTTATTTGCACGTGCCTGTTAACTTGACGTTGCGAGTGCTGTAAATAGCATACGCGTGGTGTATTTGTTGTTCACTGTCGTTCCATTTATTGATGTACCACATATCTGACATACGGTACCATATAAATAGGAGGGATTAAGATTGTACTTGAAAGAATGAAGGTTGCAACACTTCAAGATTTCAATTGGACTAAGTATTAATTCATTAGCAATTTGTCTCCAAGTCAAACATAACAAATTAACATTTTTTATTAACATTACTGTTGCAGCCAGCAACAGTAGTATATATCATTGCATCCTGCACTGCAAATTGAACAGTAATATCACCTTACGGGTGTCGTGCCGCTCTCTGGTACCTATCCCTGAATAAACCGACATTCCAGCATTGCTATGTTCGTGCCTGCTTGATGCGTGCTTTGTTATGATTTAATTTAATCAATTTATTTGTGCTAATCAAAAAATAAGTTTCCTTGTTTTGACGTACATTGTGGTATAATGAATGTGTCAATGTCGTATTAGTTACATTGTTTCTGAACACGATGTTAAGAAATATGAAATATAAAATATTTCACGACCATGTAAAATGCGATATAGTACAATTTAAACATTTTTAACAATCAAGTCAATCCACCGGACAACAACAATGTAAATTCTATTTAATCTTTTTACCAAATCACACTGCTTTATATTCACCATTATGCCTATCAAATCTGTCGCTCGATCTCAGAGAATTCAGACTGTTCGTCATGCAATTCCTTACTCTTTTCGAGTTTCTGCAACAAGACCGACAGTTGTTCTTTGTTGATATCTAATGCAAGACCGCGCCACTAGCGAGATCTTGGCAATTTAACGTACGCGTTAGCCTTCGCACTCCCCGCCTGGTGCTACATGTTTGACTGCATAGCTGCTAGTCGTCGATCCTGTAGCTAGGGATGGATAGTAATTTTTATAATTCCCTGGCGCATTTCTCCCCAGGTTGTAGTGCAGTCCTGTTCTTGTGATTGTATTAGTTCCCTCATCTGCAAATGACTAAAAGAGCTCGCTATGGAAGTATATTTTTTGATTCATTATAGTTTTGAAAGCGAATTATGAATCCGCGAATTTACGCTTCGATCGTTTTTAATAACGACTATTTCAATCTTACTGTAATTATTTTATTTAATTTCGACTCGCCGATGGACATAAACGCTTAAGTCTTGTGAAAAATGTTGCATTTCTCTTGTAGGCTGAAATCACTCAAATATTTTATTCTGCTTGTCGAAAACACTCAGAATAAGAATATATGTATACGCTCAAAAACTTTTATTTTTCAAATTAGAGGAGAATATGGCTATGAAATTGATCCAAGCTTCCCAAAAAAGCGTGTGAAGTGTATTGCTATATTAGGGAACTTGCGGTCTAGTGCGAGGTCGCAATTGGTATACACACTATGGAGCTGCAGGGACTTCCTTATTCTGCCACGTCGATTGTACGTAAGACTCTTAATACAGGGAACAGGTTCCTTGCTCTTTTATGGTGCATCATGAGCCGTTCAAGCACGGCGCGTCAATGGGCCAAGTCTGCAATATAGTGAGAGCGCAGCAGCCTTGCACGGTCATTCATGAAAATTCCCTCAGAAAATTCGAGTTTATCGAAAGCATAATTGATTTAAGATTGACTGCAATTCGATAGTTCACTTTTAGGCGGCTTGATACCTCGACACTTTGCAGTGAATGCGACCACATATACATACATGCAATTTATTTTACCTCAAATAATGGGAATATCACTCATGTGTTTTGGTTGTTATAATGATTTACATTTTTTAGTAGATTCGATGGTTGCATCGAAGAAATTTGAATTTTCCGCGGTGTTTATGTGTAATTTTGAATTTTTTAAATTGACTGAATTTTCGGTTTCCTCTAATTCTTTGAATATTTTTCTGTTAGTCATTCTTCATTACGGTTCAAAGTTTTAGAAAAATATTACTAACGTTGAGCCAAAATAGGAGCGGTGTCATTTTATTTGTTATGTTTGAAACAGTTTTGCTATATACACTTGTAAAGCAGCTCTTTGCTCATGTGCTGACAAGCATCGCATTTTTAAAATAATACTAAAATCAGTGTTATTAATTCTACTTCGGTGTTATGTTCAAGTTATTCACTATTCATTCCATACATCCGGCAGAGTGGAATTTTACAGTACCAATTTAAAACAGTTTCGCCCACTTGACTTAAAGTGCTTGCTTTTTTTGATGCCAAAGGCTCCTCTTGTACTTTCTACCAAGTATTCATATTGCAACAGAAACAAAAACACTTAGAAATAAGAACGATTCACTTAATTATTATTTAGTTATTAATGTACGTATTTTTTTTTTTTGCTGCAGGCCTATGAATTGTCTACACTGACGGGCACACAAGTCATGCTACTGGTGGCAAGCGAGACCGGCCACGTGTACACCTTCGCCACACGCAAACTTCAGCCCATGATCACTAGTGAGGCTGGCAAAGCTCTGATACAATCCTGCCTTAACAGTCCTGATCCACCATCATCCCACCAGTACCATCACCACGACCAACGCATGTCCGCTACAGGCTACGAGGAGACAGAGCTCACCTATGCCGTACCAGACGACGACAACTCTAAGGTACGACAGATGATGTACTCGGTAGCAGCCAACGCATCGGCCGCAGCGTCTCCCATCAACGCTGTGTCTATGCACCAGTCGCAGGTAGCTACCTCTATGGCATCGCCATCGCACCACGCGGCCGCTGCTGCCGCGGCGGTTGCCGCCCTACAAGGGCACCACCACCAGCACTACGGTCAGCACCCGCACGCACCTCCTACCCCACACCTTGGGGCTCCTTCCCCTCACCTCACACCTCCTGGTTCACACCACATGGCTCATCATCATCACTTAACTGCACAAATCTCAAATCACAACGACCACTCAAGTGGTGGTGTAGGTTCACTGCACCAGCACTCGTCGCACCTCACTTCACAAACTCCGCTACCGCCTCATTCACCCTTGCCACCACACTCACCTATGGGCACACCATCCCCCACATCACCTTATCCAGGCCTGCATCACCATTCAGGTCACCATCATATCCCAGCTCACTCACGGTAGAACTTTGTCGTAGATTTTGCCTTCAACCTTGAATTGACTTAGTCGCTTGAATGTTAAGCTATTCTTGATTAAGTCCCTTCTCAATGCGCCGGTGTTTCTAAGAGTCTCTGGGAACTGTATTAGATCTTGTAAAGTTTGTTATGAATTAGGCGTCAAGTACGGTTACCCGCAATAACTCATCAAACTCGTATTCTCAAGTAACTCTCATTAACTTAACTGGCGTCACTTATAATCTTGTGAGTATCGCCTGCGAATCTGAGTACATTCCACAAAATTTATACCATCTCTTAGGTTACTTCGCAAATTACACCGGAATAAAAAAAAACAAATAGAATGCCATTCACTATATTTCCTCAATGCGTTTACTATGAAATTATGGTGATTTTACTTATCATTTTCTTTGTGTTTGTTCTTCATAAAATATGTTGAAATTTACGTTTTTCCAAAAGCATATCGCTTCCTCCAATGTTTGTTTCTTTAATCAGCATCACATTCTGAAAGCTTCCTAGTTTCCCTCACCAAAAACATTCTACACAATCTTTCATAAAATTGGAAAAAAATCATCATTGCCTTAGCAATTATTTTTGAAGGCGTCTCAATTAAAAAAAGATTCCAGGAAACACCTCAATCTTTGCTGAGGCGCCTTTTTTCTCCCTCATGTTTACATACATAACAAACGCCTATTTCACCACAAACATCCCGCACGATTATTTCGGGTCCTTTTACGTTTCTCTAGCGCACCTGTATGATCTGTTTAGCTTATTTGTTTGTGTGCACCATTTTATTGTTGGTTGAAGAGATATCAGCTTGTTCATTCCGGAGTAAATGAAGTCGAGCTAATACAGTTCACTGCTGCTACACTCCCTTGATTATTCCTACCAATTATTACCATTTTTTCGTAATGAACATTCCATATGGAAATAACAATTATATACTCGTCTTGATAATAAATAAATCGCATGGCATCGTTAAATTGTTTGATGAATGCTCGTAAGACATCTGAAGAAATGCTCTGGAGTGATGTGAACAGGCTGATATCTACCATAAAATTAGCAGCTTCTTGAGTGACGTTGTGCGACGATTTAAACTGTTTGGCTTTGTATTTTTGTGAATTTTTTTAGGGATAGACTGCCTGAATCTGTATTTTGTTTAGCACTAGCTTGCTGGATAAATCTTCTTCTTGAAACTACTCTGCCCTTATGGCTATATTCAACGTATCTGCTTACTTGTTTCTTTTGCATTGCTGTGTTGCACTTCTCGTTATGATCCCAACGTATACGGAAAACTATGAACTCGATGGCTTTATGAAATCTTTTTTATTTTTTATTTTGGTAGTATCTGTTAATTTAAACAGATTTTTTAAAAATCTATTTCTAATATAAACAAAATTTGGTTAAAGTTTCATTGAAACCAGGTAGATTCAGAATCGTAAGCTCTATTTTCTGCCACGTTAAGAAAGATTTGTGATCATTATCAATGAGAAAGTTAGTTCGCTTCTAGTAACGTTCTTTACCTGTGACCTAACGTGTTATAGGTTTAAAGTTACCTAGCATATTTTACTTTTTTTAAATAATACACTCTATCTGAGAAATGACAATATTCGGGTTGTGCAATTTCGGTAATACAAATCTTGTAGAAATTTTGTACATCAAATGTAAGTTTGTTTGTACTGTTTTTCTAAGTATTTATTTTTTGTTTTAATTTATTTGAATTTCCACCTGCAAATTGATTTTTCGTACTCCTTCATTGAGACTCTATTTTTTTCAACATATGGGTACATCATTACTCGCTTGCTCTCGTAGAGTGCAGCACTAAGTTATTTCAATTAAATGCAATCGAGTGTGGTGTTATTCGTTAATAATTTTTTCTAATTGACGTTGCTTTGCAACCTTGTTTCGTTGTGCGAGTGACATGCTTTTGATCTTATTTTGCCCTATTTTACGTGTAATAAACTGCTTCTTGTGCAATATATATTCAATTAGACGTGTCGTGTTCGTTCCGACTTTTTGGAGCATACCGACATTTTCAGTTAAAAGTCTCATTCATGAGCGAGTTAAACGAAAAATTAGTTTCTCCAAAAAACTGATGTCGTCCCCTTTGCTTTTTAAACGTGGTGTATTGAGCCGTTTAACTTAGTTAATTATGTCATCTATCATGCATATTGTTTGATAAATCTACGTGATGGTTTTACCTGTGCTATTAATTTATCTAAACTGAAACTTCGAGAATTTGTAATTGTTGAATAAAAATAGTTACTGGTTTGTATAAGAAGCTAATTCCTGTGTTTCGACTAGACTAATCAATTGCTATTGAACCCTGTCTTTGGGCTCACAATTTGATATTGCGTCCGGTTCATTATTTTCAATTTTAAAATTTTGCCTGTTGATGTAAAATGTAAACAAGGGTTTGTCACAGATTGATCAAATTGTTCTGTGATAGTTTACTGCAACTCATTGTTTACTTTGTTTCACTGAGTTATTATTTTTTGGCTTATAGATATGAATATTCAATACAAGCTAAATTTTGAATCAATTGAATGTATGAAATCATAATGCGTGATGTGTTAAATAACTGTTCTCACTGCTCTTTTATGTTGAAAATCACGCGAGTATGCGAGTGTTTTCAAGTAAAAAAAAACGAATATTTGAAGATCAACTCGCATAACAATATACATTAATTAAGACAACTCAGCAACATGGAAGTAATGTGAATTAAATTTTCCGGAATATCAATGCCATAAACATGATATCTTTCAATTTAATAGCTGTTATTTGTGTGCAAACTAACAGCGATTGACTGCAAATTTTTTGTAGTAATGTGTTTGTTTTTATAGTAAATTTTCAAAGTTTTGTAGGAAACAGTTGATTTTGTATGTTAATTTTCATTCGTTTTAGTTAAGAATATGTTTGGGCTCAGTAAGTTTGAGGTTTCTGTTTCCATAAGTTATTTTTACAATATTCGTGAACATTCATGTTGTTTTTGTGGTTTTCTTGATCGTGGTAAATTTTTCCCCGTATTTCCCTTTTTGTGGACCGGTTCTTGTAATGCAATTTTTATTCATTAGCATTTTTTTCCTGCTCCTGATGATTTATTTGCACTTGCATCGTCCTTAGATTGCTTGCTATCACATGATCATTGCTTGTTTTTTGTTTGCACAGTTGAGAACATTTAGTCGCTTTTGACTGCCAATGCGGACACGTTTTCTCTGATCTCCGTATTACTAGAGCTACCAGCAATGCACGAGTTAGGGCCATTGTCACGCTAACTGGACTTTTTCCGAATGCTAGATCCAAAATTTATTGCATATTTCTTTAAAAATATATTTTCTGGTGGCTTGCGTGTTGCTTTGTTGTGCTCTTCGTTGAGGATCTCCGCTCGAGTTGTAGGTGAGTGCCGTTGGCGAATTTCGTCGGGGATCTCAAGAGAACTTTCTTCCAGATGCCGGTGAGTGAGTGTCGTGTCTGTCGTGTGTTTTCTATTCGTTATATACCTTTTGATATTCTCAAAAGGAAATTTGAAAAAGTTTCGTTTTCACTCAAGTTGCCAACATGCGACATTTTCTTCATTATCGTGTAAGACCCAGGAAATGCTCTAAGCGCGCAACAATGTTTAATTTTTTAAGGCCAAAATTTACGCATTTTTATAATTGCAATTGAAATGGCTGTGCTCACATTTACCATAACAAAGCCTAAAAGTTTACATACGAAATCTAACAGCCGCCGTTGCCAGCACCTTAGACCACAATGATAGTGTACATCTTAGAGCGCTCTGTAATCTGCTCAGCCCGACATACTTCTAACTTCTCGTCGCTCCAACATCTTATATCTTTATGTACTTCAATTTTAGGTCCCTCAGTAAACTGATGTGTTTATTTCACCGACTTATGCTGCACTTTCTCTTGCGGCCGCAGAGGGAAAAAAAAGAAAAACCAGTAGGTCGATGTTGACCTCGTATAACATGGCATTTGCCGGCGGTGCTTCTCCGCCGCCTTGTACATACATGTATTAGATTCTCCTAATCAGCGCTATGCTCTCGTGGTGCTCGCTAGGCTGCACTTTTTATTCTAGCACAAATTCTATGCGACTTAGGGGCGGCTATCGTACGTTTAGTCCCTACCTATGATCGCGTTATATTTGTAGTAGGGTATGACGTCAGTTTCATGTGCCAAACTGTGCCTAGCCTTTAACAAATTATGTTTTGTACAGTACTAAACTTGATCTTGTGTGTGACCTTAAACATTAGCCCGGAAACTGGGGTCGATTATGAGTTGTTGTCCGACGGGCTGAGATTAATGTCGTTAGATTGCCCGCATTTACCTTCTTTATGGCTGCAATTTAATTCCTGTGTCGAGGAATCGATTAAAAAATCGCTTCAAAACTTTGATTTCATTTTTAAATACAGGTTCATAATGTTGCAGTAAACGCAAGATTCATGTGAAGAAAGCTCTAATGAAACATCTTTGATGTCGAAAACCAAGTTCGTAAAAAGTGACGTTCATTTTAGTTGAAATTATTACA